TATCGCCCTACCCGCTCTCTCTCTGTCTTTCTGTCTCTCTGTTTCTCTCTCTGTCTCTCTCTCGCTCTCTCACGCACACACACACACACACAAACATACACACACGCACACACACACACACACACACACACACACACACACATACACTCTTCTCTTCCTTCCCTCAACATTTTTTGTTATAACGCAACACGACGGCGTCAGATGAGGCTTGCTCGAGAAGTGTCATAATAAAATTACGCAAGTTCTCGGAAGCACAGACTCTTCCAAAATCAATACAAAACGCATGTCATAATGTTTCTTTTTACAGCAGTGAGCATGCATGTATGATTGCGATGAATTCATGTTTTTGCACTCTTAAGTGTTTCTAGAATTTGGTCTCAGAAAACGTGTTTTCTTGTCTGTGACGGAGCCTTCGTCGGCGTCGTAAGCAATCCACTTAAGTCCGTTTGGATACTTTTTACACCAGAGACAAAAAAAAAAAGAAACAACAAATAGTATTTGTTAGGTTGTTCCTATTAGGAATCATGAAAAGTAAGAAAATTGTAAGCCTTAGCAGAGTGAAAAATGATTTCAAAATCAACTTTGAGGGATGCTTCTCTCCCAGAAAAAAATATCTTTGTCTAATGCATGTGAAGGAAATCCGAGTTTTACATAATGCATTTTCTCTGTGAAGTAAGACGTAACGTGATACGAATAATCCTTCAATATTCTCTTATACATTAAACAGCATTTTGTTGATGTTGAAAGGTACGTCTTTAATAAAGATTTGGGAGGGTGTAAAAATCGACATTCTCATAATTTGGACTTTAATGGATTGCTTCCGACAGCGACGCTATGTAAGATAATATACGTTTGCGAAAGATGGCCTGCTTCATATAATTAAGCTGAACTGTGAACTTTTCCTATCTTGGAATAGATGTGCTTCTTTTTCGCCTTCAGCATTTGGCTGACCTTTCAGTCTTTAATTGGTATTGGTTAAAAATAATGAGCTGTTTTTCTATGTCGGTCGTTGTGCCCAAAAGTTCGATATCTGGGTCGGATCCTCCGGGCGAGATTTCTTTCCTGTGGGCGGTGTTCAGTTTACAGTCGTGACATACATGACCTGGAGGTTAGACTTAAGTGAAAGTGCTATTTTGAAGTATTGTGTTCCTTCGGATCGAAGGCTCACACATTGTTACGAAATGTCTCTGGATTTGCCTGTTTGTTCTAATTTATCACGTCAATCCCTCGGGGGACATGCCCCGTGAAAGCCTGAAAGGCCCTCAAATGCTCTCATGCACATTTCTGTCTTTGTCGATTATCAATTAGAAGTGTGCAGCTGGGTGAACAGAAGAAATTAAGACAAAGTTTTTCCTCACGGACACAACGTTCTGTTCAGCAGAGCCAGGGATGAAATCTACAATACATATTATATATATATATATATATATATATATATATATATATATATATATATATATATATATATATAACCACACACAAACACACAAACACACACACACACACACACACACACACACACACACACACACACACACACACACACACACACACACAGGACGTGTTGAGAATATCTATAACCACTGACAACAACACACATCTTGCAAAAGTAAAAATGATTTATAATTTGATTGAACTAAATCGAACCAAAGTTGGCGTTTGCACAGTAAAATCTTGTTGCTACAAGACTCTGTAACACTACTTGTTAATTTTCAACGCTGTGTGATAATCGTAATACGTACTGCATTATCAAATCAAAGTATCTAACACAATGTTGTTGTTAACTACTAAAGCAGAAAAGGTTCATGGCGTACATAATGATATTATAGACTATACACAGAGAACGGAGTTGCAACATGTAGCGACCAAATTTATTATAGTGGCGTCGGGAGTCTAGTGGTTATACGGACTGCCCACTACGGCTGGATGGGGCCGATCACCCGACTCGATCGCCTGAAACCGAAAACAAACACGTTTGTTTTTTAGGCGACCGATCGGCCTATCCCAGTGTAGAGGGCACCCCGTATTAAGTTACCAGTCCCGTTATCGTTAGATTGCGGATTCGGGGGTTCGAGCCTTAGCTCGGTCCGACGTTGTATCTTTGGGAAAGGCATTTTATCCGAATTTTAAAACCAAGCTGGTTCCGTCCTTTCGGAGATGAATGTTAAACTTAGAGGTCCCGCCTCACCTCTTATATAACCTGGTGGTGTTAGAATGGGCATTTCAGCTATAATTTTTCAAATTGCACCACAGTATTGAAACTTCTATTGTGTAAAATAGGTACAACGCACTCCTTTCATACTTTTGACAATCTTTTAGAGAACAAATGACGCATTTAGAAAAAAGACAGTCTCCACTAAGAAAAGACGTGATGTTTGTCCTTGGGTTTTACGAATAAATGTCGAATTAAATTTTAATATGACAGTAAGTTTGACATGTTGTCTCCACAACGACTAGTTTTTCCCTCAGGGAGTTGTTGAAGCGGTAACTTTCTTCCCCTTATGAAACATAGTGTGACAAAATTCTTTTAATTTTTTTTTCCAATTTATGTCCTCGGCCTTGAAACACAAAATATTTTGTCTTGCAACCTTCAATACTGTGACTTCCGTTTTTTGTTTTGTTTTGTTTTGTGTTTTTATTTTAATTTGTTTTGTTTTATTTTCGCATGTAGCTACAGCTACAACTGAGGAGAACGTTTTTTGTTACGTAAAAAAAATTCAGAAGAAATTGTATTTCAAAGAATTACATTCGTGTCAAAGATTGACGTTCTGTCAGCTCAGCATGTGTTCATCTGGACTACAGATTGTTCGACTTCAGTCCGGAGCCGAGAGCGCGATGTTTAAGTTTAAATTGTTTGAGGAGTTTACAATGCTCCCTGCCGGCTTGGCTCAGCATTAATGGGTGTGGTGCTGTGTAGGAGATGGAAGTTGAATTGTAGATCCCTCCTCTTACATAGATTTACTATATCACATTGCTGTTGGCTCTTACATTTTATTCTCTTTTTTACCATGTCAGACAAGGTACTCTGAGAAAGCTTTCATCTACCAACCCTGAGGGCAGTCTTGTAAAAAAACAAACACCCGTTACTCGTGTAAACTGACTTACCGCCGCCGCCCATGGTACATTGAGAAGGATCTTCGCCGTTGCATGATGAAGGCGGCATGAGTTCGATTCCCTGGTAGGATAATTTTGTATCGATCACCTGCTTCTGCTTGCTGGAATGCCGTCTCCCATTTAGCCTGGGCTCACGCTGGAGGACAGGATCGAAGCAGCCTGCCTCCCTAATTATCTTTATTGTTGCAATGAGGGAATAGAGCATTCTTTACTACCATTATAATCACTGATTTACCGTAGTAATTCTCTTCTTACATTAGAAGTCAGTTTAGGCAGAGCACAAGTCTCTCAATCATTACTAATACGCCTTCCTGGCCTGGAGGTGACATCTCTGTCATGGTCCCGAGTTGCTGTATTTTGTGTGTGTGTG